GGCCATCGAGACGGCCCAAGATGGCTTCAAGATGGCCCAAGAAGCCCCCAAGAGGCTTCCAAGACGGCCCCAGAGGCCCCCAAGAGAGCCTCCAGGAAGGCCCGAAGAGGCCACAATCATGTGCCCTCGGTTCTTGAAGGATTTGGGCAGTTGCTTCATTTCGATCTTCTGACGGCCCGAGACGGCCCACGAGCCCTCAAAGGTCGCCCAAAGATCGCCCACGAGGCCTTCCAAGATGGCCCCAGAACGGCCCAAGAGACCCCGAAGACGGCCCCACGAGAGCCCCAAGACGGGCCAAGAGGCCTCCAAGACGCCCAAGATGGCCTCCAAGACGGCCCTGGAGCACCCCAAGAAGGCCCCAAGTCGGCCCAGAGAGGACCTCACGACGGCTTCCGACGGCGTCAGATAGGACAGGAATGCCCTAAGACAGCCAAAGAAGCCACCGAGAAGCCCCCGAAGGCCCCCAAGAGGCCCAAGGAGGCACCAAAGATACCTCCAAAAGGCTCCCACGAAGATCTAAGGAGGCCCCATGAGTGCCCCCAGAGGCTCCCAAAATGCCCCCTCCTCCTCCTACTCCTCCTCCTCCTCTGCCTCCACCTCCTCCTCCTCCTTCTCCTCCTCCTTCTCATCCTCGTGATCTTCCCCGCCATCCTTCCCCAAGTGTTCCCCGAAGAGTTTCTACAAGGGCTTGGGGAACACATTGCCCGATTGCTTGGCAATGCTCTTGCCACAACGCTTGGCCACATTGGCGATTCCAAATGGCAGGGGGCGCCAGTGATTCGCCGTAGGCGTCTTCGATAACGCCAAGGTCTCAATATGCGCTGATGATTCCTATACGTCCCAGCATGATGCTCCCAGATACGCCAAGGCAGCGCCGAGACGCACCGACGCGACTCTGATATATCCTATCATGATAGAGAGTGGGCCGGCGGCAGGGGGCGAAGCCCTTGCGGATAATTAGTTACCCCCTCCTTCTCTGACCGGTGGCATCGAATGTGGCGCCAAAGGGGTTCCAAGGCCCCGAAGGGGGCCTCCAAGAGGGCCTCAAGAGAGGCCGCAATGGCCCCAAGACGGCCCAAGTAAGCTGCCAAGATGCTCCCAAATCGAAAGGATCCGGAAAGGCATGTGCGGTTGACTCCAAGGCTTGCTCAGGGTAATCCCGACCTTCGGTTGCACGGCGGCCCCCCTCTTCGTTCCACCGCGTGCTCCAACACTTCCCTGATCAACTCAACTCTCGTAGGCATGGTTGCTAGATGGGCTGATAGTGCGAAGAGTCCTGAATCAGGGTGCTGACGAAAGGAGTCTGGGGAGGAGGAGGGAGGAGGGCGGCCTCCTCCTTCTCCGCCTCCTCCTCCTAATAATCATCATCATCCTCATCATCATCATCAGCAGCAGCATCATCAGCATCATCAGCATCATCACCATCATCATCGAATGAGAATAATAATGATAATACTAATAATAATGGTAACATAAATCATCATCATTGTCATCATCTAATCATCATCTAATCATCATCATCAGCATCATCAGCATCATCATCGGCATCATCATAATCATTATCATGAGCAGCAGCATGAGCATCATCACCATCAGCAGCAGCGGAAGTAGCAGCATCAGCATAGTAACAATAATCACCATCATCACCATAATCAGCATCATCAGCATCGTCATCACTATCACAAAACGAATCACCATCAGCATCAGCATGGTTATCAGCATCAGCATCCTCATCATCAGCGTCAGCAACAGCATCATCAGCAGCAGCAGCATCATCATATGCATCGTCAGTATCGACATCGCCACCATCGTCAGCATCAATATCGTCATCATCAGTATCGTCATCATCATCATCAGAACCAGCAGCATCAACATCACCGTCAGCATCAGCAGCATCATGAGCAACAACATCATCATCATCAGCATCATCATCATCAACATCAGCATCATCGGCATCACCATCACCATCATCAGCATCATCAGCATCACCACCACCACCACCACCATCACCGTCACAACCATCATATTCCTCCTCCTCCTCCTCCTCGTCATCATCGTCATCAGCACGACCATTGGAATCAGCATCATGATCATCAACAGCAGCATCATCGACATCATCATCCTGATCCTGATCCTTATCCTCATCCTTATCCTGATCCTGATCCTCATCCTGATCCTGATCCTCATCTGGGTCCTCCTCATCAGCCTCAGCCTCAGCCTCATCATCATCCGCATCCTCATCCTCATCCGCATCTTCAGCATCAACAGCATCATCAGCATCACCATCATCGTCATAAGCATCATCGGCATGATCATCAATCATCATCATAATCACCATCATCATCATTGTCAGCATCACCATCATCGTCATCAGCAGCATCAGCATCAGCATCAGCATCATCATCATCATCAGCATCATCATCATCATCATCATCATCACAAGCATCATCATCAGCATCATCATAATCAGCATCACTATCACCATTACCATCATCATCGG